CGCGCGTCGCACCGGGAGCGGGTGTATGGGGCGGGGGCGTTCGGCGTGGGGCTCAGCTATGCCCTGCGGGGCCGGGCCGGCAGTCTGGGGTCCCTGGCCTCCTGCCCTGGAGCAGCTCAGAGCGAAGACTCTCTGCCCACGATGCCCACCAGCCACGTCTCGCCTCTCGTCCCCCTCAACCAGACTCGGCTTGATGGGCAAAGGGGAAAGAAAGGAAAAATAAAGAGGAAAAAAAAGGGCGGGCCGGGAGGAAGCTGCGGGTCAGGCTGGAGGAAGCCGACTGGGCAGGGGTGCCGGCCTCCTCCTCTGCCCGCCTCCGGGGTTCTTCCCGCAAATGGAAAATGAGCCGAGGAGGGAAAGGCAGAAAGAGCGTCGAGGAAGAGCGACGAGGGCGTCTTCGATGCCGATCCCTCCCGGCCCGCGGAAACCCGGCAAAAGTGGCGTTGAGTTCGCTTGCCTCAGTCCGGGGCGAGCGGGGAAAGGCCGAGGACAGGGCGGCGCCGCGCTGCCGGTGACAGACGGTGTCGGGGCCGTGCGCTGAGCGAGCGGGGACACACACCTGTTCTGCGAGTCGCGTCGTGTGCGGCGGCCGCGGCGCGAGAGGCAGAGCCCTCCCTCCCGTACCCCAGGCCCGCTGTCCGGGAACCGGGAGGGCCCGGCTGCCCCCGCGCCGGCTCGCCTAGGCAGGAGCCCCGCAGTCCAGGAGCCCGGGGGCTGCACGCCGAAGCGGTGGCGCGCGGCGCCGGGACCCGGGTGACCCGCGGGGCGGGGCTGTTCAGGGGGCGAGGTCCTTGCACTCTGATGGAAGGTAGTCTCCTCCGAGCTGCAGCCCCGCAGGTCAGACCCAGCCGCGCACCAGGGCCCATCGCATTTAGCGGTTCTTCCCCGGCCGGAACCCTGGTTCCCCAAAGTTACAAACAGATGTTTCGTGCGGAGGTTGTTGGGATGTAAAGTATTCTTTGTGCAAAGGCAACCGAGAGGTCAGGCCGAGGATTGGTGGGCTCGGCTCTGCGTCGGCCCTAAGTTTATGTAGGTTTCGCCTTCACGTCTTTCTTTTCCCTAAAAGAGTTGAGTTTTCCCGGTGAAGATGTAGCGACCGAACTGTGCATCCGCGGCCCCGCGGGCCCGCACTCTCGAACTGGCCGATGGTCACCCGCCGGCCAAGTCCGAACTGAGTCCGGGTCCAAATCTGGGACGGATACCCAGCCACGTCTGAGCCGCTGGCGTTGGCCCCAGCGGTGGAACCAGGTTAGCCTTCTGCTTCCTGAGTTCGTGCAGATGGCGGTAAAATTTCTGCTAGAGCGGTGTTTCCAAATACCCCCAGGGCATTTAGTGTGCGGGAATTCTCTTCCAGCGAAGCAGCCTGTGAACTTAAAAAAAAAAAAAACCAAAACTTTCCTGAGTTCTTAACAACCCCCCACTACCCTGGCCCCATTTCCCATTGTTCTTTGCTTTTTAAGTTGCCTGTTAATTTTTTTAAAGTTTATTTATGCAAAGGGAAAATATCGTTTAATTTGTTCTATTATTTTAATTCTTGGCTTTTGGAAACGGTTCAGACCACAAAAATGTCACCTGTTGTAATAAGCAGAGGAGGGTTGTGTGTGCGATTTAATTACCAGCAGAGTCGTAGTTTGGTGGGCGTTCAGAGCTCGGGCTCCGGGAAAGAGGCTTTTGCAGCTTTCTTTGTGGCAGTCATTTGCAAGTGTGTTTGGCTCCGGGCTGCAGCAGGAGCAGCAACAGCGGCGCTTCCTTCTACGCCGATACCGGGCGCGGGTCACGAAGCCCAGACCCTGGACAGGGTTTGGTCAGAGGCTGGGGTGGGAGATTGCCCGCTCTCTGAGACTTTCTCTCTGGCTTTCGGTTTTTCAATGCGAAAGTGGCTAGTTCGCGCGGGAGAGCGAGGAGCGCTGCGCATCAGCCCAGTTTCAGACATCTTCACATTCCAAATGTCACCTTCTTCGTTTCATTTGTCTTGGTTCTGGCATGTTTAACAACGCAGTTAGTAATCTCACTAATTATTCAGTTAGCTGGCGTTTTGTAATCACTTTAAACCAGGGTCGGATGTGTGATTTAACAAACTCCCACACATACACTCCTGAACCAAAACCATCACGTCAAGGATTTGAGATTTTTAAAACTCAATATTTGTTGGTCCCTCCGTCCAACCTCACTGCCTGCCAGACAATTTATTTAGCTTCGTGAATTGATCCCTCCTCCTTGTTTAGTTAATTCAACAAAGACTTTTTGCAATCTGTTTGGAGTTTGTCTGATGCCGTGGAAAAGTAGCTGATGATTTATTTGGTTGCTTTTCGATTTCTGTCTTCAGCCCTTCTTTCTCCTCCTTTCAGCAGGGATGTCAGCTGTTATTACTTCCTATTGATCCCTTTGCAAAGTGAGAAGTGAACTAAAATTAATGTCAATTCCACTGCTCGGATCAATAGCTGGAGTTATTTTAATCTGGATTTGCACGAAGTGCTAAATTAAAAAAAATCAGCATAGAGGCAGAAAAGTAACAGTTACTTACTTTCCCTTTACCTGACTCTTTACAGTCCCCCAAATGCTCCATCAAGCTGATTATCTTACAATCCATATTTTTTTAATTAAGAGGGTCAGTTAGTTTTCTTATTTGGGGTTCTGTGTTTAAACCCATGACATTTTGACATTGGGAGTGTATTAACTATAGATTTTCATAATGACTGTGGTCTGCTGAAGCCTCTTCTATACAAGTTGTTAATGTGAAGAGGGGGGAAGAAAGAAAAAGAAAACTGGCACCCTCCTTCCCCCACAGAGACCAACGCCCACACAGTGGAGTGAAAGAGATGTGGCCTGGGAAAATATTGTTGATTTATTTTCAGTATAATGAAGTTTCAAATGAATAACCAGGTTTGAGTGATTCACCGTGTTCTGTTGGAGTGTCCGGTGCTGTCGCCAGATTACTAATTTATGAAACTCATTTAACATAATGAGGTGATCCAGGAAGTAAAAATAGAAGGGCGAATCCTCTGGGTGATGGTTATTTTGGAGGAAAAACATCCCTTCCCTCACCCCTAGTGTATTATGTTTGCCCTTTTCTCCAGCTTGCCTCATGTAGTATTGCCTGTGTGACAGACTAGTAGTTCGCTATTTCTTTTGTGAGGAGCTTCTTAGAACCCTTGGAACAGCCCTGGACCCACTTTGAGAGCATCCATGTTGTATGACCATTAATCTGACTTGAAAACAGCCAAGAACAGTATTCCCAGACTTGTCAGGCTAACTGGCTGTCCTTGGCAGATCATTCCCTGCACTGCTATAACTTGACAGGAAAGTTATTTAAAATTTGGAAGAGAGAAAAATCCGTTAATGTGAGATACATAATCTGGTAATTTAGCAATGATGTCTATAAGGAAAGATGCCAAATGAGGAAGCAGTCTGATGGTGTGCACTCATCTTCCCAATTAATAACAGTCATTGACACGTCTGCTACAGGATGGGAGAAGGAAATACTCTCTATGCACTGCATTAAGCTGGGAGGATTCATCTAGTGTTTAGCTGAGGTCTCTCTGTTTGAGGGAATAGCAAAGATACTCCTTTATCTAGATGGGCTTTTTTTTTTTTTAAGGAAGGGGACAAATTTTATTTGAGACATGATTGTTAGTTTAGAGGTTATAATTTGTAACAGATGGTGCTTTTTGGTTACACTTTGAGTTTCATTAAGTTTTTATTTAGTGTATATTTCTAAAGCTAATAAGTCCTACTGTTTGTCTTATGTTATCCTGACTCATCCATCTACAGCCCTTCTCCCACCCCTTACTCAAAATAAATTTTGCAGCAGGATCAGTGTCTATGAAAATGTACAACCTAAATTTAAAAGGGAAATTGAAGGAGGTCTTTCTGAACTCCAGTTTGTTCCAGGGGCCTTCAGCGAACATCAACTCTGACTGGGCCAATAAGCAGAGGAAAATAAGTCAGAGATTTTGTTAACATTTTGCTCTAAATGTTAATGGCAAATTCAAGGCAGTTTACAAATCTACTTAAGAGTGAGTGCATTAGTAACTAAAATTACCAATCCGTTCTTTGCTGCCCCTGGAAGACAGACGTTTCCCTGGAACATATGCCAAAGGCACCCATTATGTTTTTAAATATTGTCAGAGATGGCAGGCACTTTATTGATGAAGGTTTTGTTCCTTTTCAGAAAAGAGAAAGCCTACGTGATTAAAGAGGGGTGTGGATCAAAAATAATTCTGCTGTTGTTTCTTCACATAGTACTTCTTTCTGGAAAGAGACTTAGATGATACATGAAGATGCGTGTTTATGTATGTGCCAATGTGTGTGATTTATCCACACATACAATTTGTACCAACTAACACGTGGAGATATTCATGGTCTAAATGTGCTTGATTTAGGGGTTTTTCAGTCTCTGAGCATTGTTAGGGAAGATGAGGAGAGGATGCAAATGCCGGGGGGGGGGGGGGGGGCGGGTCTTATGAGTAGAACCTGGCCTCTGTTTGAACATAAGGCCTGCCATGAGTGGTGTATGCAGGTGCAGGCCCTTTAAAATAGAGACCCCACCTCATCTACTGGGTGACTTGGCCTTCCAAAGCTCATTTGCTCAGGGAATATTGTATTTGGAGGTTTTATGATTTTTTTTCCTTTGCTGGGCTCGGGCGCATTTCACCCGGAACGTGTAGGGACCAAAGTCAGCTACGCGTACATCACAGTAAGTTGTCTATTGATTTTCCTGAATGAAAATGGTCTGATGCTGCTGCCCACTGGCTCCTAAAGCCTGTGGTGTCTGTTGCCCGAGCATCTGTAAGCCAGAAGGATGGTGTTTCAATCACTTGGGGTTTCCCGTGTCTTTCCTCCCCCTGACCTTCCTCCCCCCTCTTTTTTTCTCTTTGCTGTTTCCACAGGTCTTAAAAGGGGATGATGCCCCAGTAATACTCCCTGCCCTGCTCCCAGGTGCCACTCCCTCCCAGGGAAGACTGCTTCTTGTGTGACGCGGGCCATAGAAAGAGACTCCGATGGACTTACACCGGGCAGCCTTCAAGATGGAGAACTCATCCTACCTCCCCAACCCGCTGGCCTCCCCAGCCCTGATGGTCCTGGCGTCCACGGCTGAGGCCAGCCGTGATGCATCTATCCCTTGTCAGCAGCCACGACCCTTCGGTGTACCTGTCTCAGTAGACAAGGACGTGCATATTCCGTTCACCAATGGTTCCTACACCTTTGCCTCTATGTACCATCGGCAAGGTGGGGTGCCAGGCACTTTTGCCAATCGCGATTTTCCCCCTTCGTTGCTACACCTCCACCCACAGTTTGCTCCCCCAAATCTAGATTGCACCCCAATCAGTATGCTGAATCACAGCGGAGTGGGGGCTTTCCGTCCCTTTGCTTCCACTGAGGACCGGGAGAGTTATCAGTCAGCCTTCACGCCCGCCAAGCGACTTAAAAACTGCCATGACACAGAGTCTCCCCACTTGCGCTTCTCAGATGCAGATGGCAAGGAATATGACTTTGGGACACAGCTGCCATCTAGCTCCCCCGGTTCACTTAAGGTTGACGACACTGGGAAGAAGATTTTTGCTGTCTCTGGCCTCATTTCAGATCGGGAAGCCTCGTCTAGCCCAGAAGATCGGAATGACAGATGTAAGTACCTTGGTGCAGCCCTCCCCTAACCCCAGTAGGCCCTGCCTTACAGTAGTATTCAACAGGTCGGTGGCATTTTTCATGCTCCTCGTAATGGGAAGGCCCCAGTCTCTCCCATTCAGGAGCTGTGGAGTGCTGACATTTACTTGTGTCTTGTCAATGAGCGTTGATAGTTCTTGTAGGAAACGTTTTTCTGAAGGTAGCTGGAGGCACTCTGGCCTGCACTGCCCTTCCTTCCGGGGCACGAGTGGCTTATTCTCTGGGGACTCTGGAGTGGAGAGGGGGTGCTGTGTATATACCGGAGTGAATGTCATTTCATTAGTAAGCCTAGGTTCCTAGGGAATTTGGGGGGGGGGGGGCGGCGCTGAAGACACCCGTCCATCCCTCTTCCCTTTGCTCTCCTCATGTTTCTCTGACCTCGGTATTTTTTAGCTTTTCCATTGTACCACATCCAGCAGACTCCACGTGATTTTATTTTCACAACTCTCAGCCCTTGTCCAAATCAGGCTATTTTTCAGAGAAGGACAAAGGTGTCGTCAATCACCATAAAGCATTTCAAACAGCTGTGTTTTCCTTGCAATCGCGAAGCTAGAAAGCCAAGTTCTCTTGGGATTTAACAGGTTTGCTGGGTGCTTATCCTGGGGGGTCCCTTGTAGAACTAGACAGGTTGGTCTATGTGACTGCTGGGTTTTTTTTTTTTTTTTTGATGCTTACAACTGTTATCAATTTCTGCTTAAGAAACAGTTCTGTCATGTTCTCCAAGGGCCTTGATGGGCTCTGGCTACACTCACTAATAGTTGGGGCTAAACCTTTGCTTGGAACTTGTAGACTAGGAATGTTGAACCCTGCCATCCTCACCTCTCATGTAATCAGAAAATAATTGTGTTTTGAAGCTTTTGGACTATGGGTAGACCCCCACAGAGCAGTTTTCTTCAAGCCTGGTGAGAATTTATGAACTGAGGGTGTTTTTTTCCAACCAACCCTTTGTTCTAAGATTTGCTTCATTTTATTTTCTTAAGAAAACTACATTTGAGGTTTGCTTTCCCTCTTCTCTATTTTTTGTGCTCCCCCGTCCTCTCTGTAACCACCATCACGAATGCCATTTTTTTCTCTTCTCTTTATGATGCCGAGGAGAGTAATAGAGACGTTGCTGCTCTCTCCCCTGTCGGCACTGCTTCCTCAGGCTGTCTCCTTGAATTAGGCACTGTGTTAACTTTCCTGCGCTAAAAGGCATCTGCCTAAACCCAGCGTACCTTTTCAATAAAAGTCATCATAAAATCAACCTGCCTTGTAAATCCATCGCTCTTTGGTTTTGAAATATGTTGCGAGTGTGTCTTTTATGTCAGCATCTGTAAGCCTGAGACCTCCCCACTTCAGGGAGAAGGCTGCTATCTGACAGCACAACTGCCGGTGTTCTGTCTTTTGCTTTAGCTCCCATTCCACCTTTCCCCCTTTCTGTACAGCTGGCGCGTGCGCGCGCGTGTGTGTGTATGTGTGTGTGTATGCTCGCAGTGATTCTGCTTTGGGGATATACTTGCTGAACACAGGTTGCCGTTGTGTCTGTCTGTTTTAGTTTAGTTTAGTTTTCATTTGTCAATGTGCAAGTGATCAAGGCAAGCTTTAACCTGACCTCTGGCCAAAACTGCCCTGGTTTCGGGTGTGACCAAGCCTGCTCCTTTTTTTTTCCAAACAAGTTGAAAATGAAACCCTCTCAAAACTTAACATGCCAAAGTAACACCTGGAGATCAAGAAACCTTTCTTTCCTAACAAATCCAGCTTGTCTCCATTTTTCCCTTTTTTAGCCCAAACCTGTATCAGACCCCCAGAGCAGGAGGAAGCTTGTTAGTCAAGTCAGAACTCAGAGATGCGGATATCCATTCCCCTCCGAGTGTCAAAGTCATAACTCTTCTGTTTGCCTGGTTCACATTGTGTGGGGGTGTCATCCCCCACGGAGATGGATCCCTCACACAGGAATACGCCTGGGTGGAGAAAAATTAAATGAGTCTGTCTCCCAAAGTGAAATGGAATTCTGACCTTGAAATTAATGAGATTCTGATCAGAAGGGTGGGGAAACTTCTTTATTTCTAATTGTAGTGTTGTATAAATTGGAGCCCTTCCCCCTTTTATTTGTTTAAAATATCCTTCCTTTAGTGAGTATTTTGTGTTCTCTTTTTTCCTTTTACACAAATGTTAGATCTATAGGCATGTCTGAGTGTAGAATGTTTGTCCACTCACATTATCTAGAGTTCCATTTGTGACTGGATCTTAAATGAGAAATAAAGATACAAAGTGCATGGGAGAGTGTTATCTTGTGATGACCCTGGATTTGTGTTCCTTTCTCTTTTCCTTCTCTCGGGTGGGGTAGCAACCATCACAAGGTTGTCCTGGGTAGCATTTGTGCTTTGGGTTTTGAGTTTTGGGAGGCTGGGGAAACATTTTTCTGTAGGGAAGGGTCGAAGAGGCACCGTGACCAAGTCTGCTGCAGCTTTCTTGGCTCCTGTCATATGCCGACGTGTGTCAGAATATTTATGGTCTGTTTTATGTAAATACATATTTAAGGGCCGTTAGAAGGCCTGATTATTCCCACTAGATGCCTTTCAGTTCCTCCCTACAGAACCGTTTTGAAATAAGTAATATTTCTCAGATAATCAAGTGACAGTATACAAGACTGCTTCCAAGGGGAGCGCTTGAGGGGCAGATGGGGCAGTGAGGGGGGGTGGGGAGGTGAGAAAAGAGGACAGAAAGTGTTCAAAAGAGCACAGTGATAGGATACTGTGGCTTTTGCCCAGATTGCCAAAAATTAACCGTGTATATTTTAGGTTTTGTAGTTCTTAAAATTCAGAGCTAATCCTTGATAATAGTTGACTGATTTTTCAGTTCTCTTCATATAAATTTTTTTCATAAAATGTAAGAGAAGCTATAATTAAATAACAGTAAATCTCCTAAATAAGCATGTAGCTTTAGGGTTTTGTTGAGTACGGGTGTGTGTGTCCCTTAGAGTAGAAGTTTTATGACTGAGTTTTAGGTCAATGAAAAAATCAGTTTTACAATGGAAACACTGACAGTTTTTACTGTCGCAGCCACCCCCTGCTCACACACTGCATCCATATGCAGATATGTCCACATCTGAGAGCATTTGAAAGAGGGGCCTGCAGACATGGTGTAATGCACACGTGTTCTTTCCTTCAATCTGGGTACTGATAGGCAGGATTTCTTTTGTGGTTAAATACCCGTTTTTGTAGAAAGCAGCATAGCTCCTTGGGTAAAGTATTGTCTCTCCTAGTAGATGATTCCATTTTGCTGTTCATCTACCTGGCATCACAGGTGATTCCTGAGGTAGGTGTTGGGCTCTATGGAAAAAAGAAGGCTTTACTCAACAGGACTGACTTATTTACCCTGGAAAAAGGGAGAGAAGTATTTATGATGAGAAGCCATTCGTGGAGGATGCATGATTCCCCAGGAAGGGGACTGAGGTAACTCCTGTTTATTGTCATTCCCTGAACCCAAGGCTCCTTGTCCATGTCCAGGGAAATGATGCGAAAATTTATGGACCAATTACAAATAGTCCACGTGTGTCTTACATACGAAGTGTCTACAGATATGTTTCCCAAGGCTTTTAAAATAAACATTTCCTCATTAAGGAAACTTCACAACAAAAGGGAAAATACGTATTCTCTGCTGCCTTGTACTAGAATCTATACATTAATGACCCTCTTAGCACTCTGGCTCTTATCATGTGCATTTTCTGATTGTTCTCTATAGGCCACTCCAGGGCCCAATTACTGTCTGGGCGACACAGTCTTTGGCCAGCCTGCCAGTCTATCCACTCAGCCCAAAAATCGGAGTTGGCCAGTTCACCCTGAGGGCCGAGAGGGACCGGAACTGCCCTTGGGGAGCCATGATGGGCCCTGCCTTCTGGCTCACCTCAGAGGTGGGTACTGGGCACTGACTTCAGGTGGCCCTCTTTCCTTGACCCTTCCCTGTGGTCAGGAAACCCGAATGCTCCCAGCAGTTTCCAGATGTGCTGCTTTGCTCTCATCTTTGATATATTTAAAAAGTCACTCAAATTTGAAAAGCGCTGAGGAGATGGTATTTTGTACTTTGAGATATGTCTTTCCAAAGGCACCTATCACTGAAAACCCTATGTCCTAAGAATCAAGGCAACCGAGCCCACCACATAGGCCCAGGGCAGCCTGAAAGGAGCTGGCCGGCTGCATCATGGGAGTGTTGTGAGGGGGCTAGTCCCAAGGGCTCTGGGACTGGGGTGGGTAGGGACCCTGCTCTGGGCTTTTAAGAGAATTGCTCTTGCTGGAGAGGATGTTTGGGGGCAGTTCTCAGGTCACCAGGCTCAACTTCTGGATCGTTGCTGGAGCAGATGACCACTCTGAAAGGGCGTGCACATCCTCAGAGATGGGTCAGATGGTTCCCGCTGTACTGACTGCCCAGACTTAGCCCGATTGTCGACTGTCGGCTCAGCTGCGCCCGGGCTTCTCCCAGAGACCCTATTCCTTCCCCATCTGGGGTGGGGGGAGGGGAGGGACAAGAACTCCTGTGATGTGTGTGGTTGTTTCTGGTTGTTCGCTCCCAACACAGTCATGGAGACTCCTTTTCATGCTGCCGGGTTTAATTGTCTTGTTGGGATAAAGAAATGTTTGCACAGCTAAAGTGGGGCCGGGCTGGACGGGAGCAGTCCCTGATGGCTGCAGAGCCATCTGGCCTGGCTTGGCTTGGCTCGGCGCGCCGCTGGCCCGCCTGCCCGCCCGCCCGCCCGGCGGCTGGGCTCACTCCCGCTCCCGCTCTCTTCCCCTGCCCTCGCTCCACGCCGCGCCGCTCTGGTCGGCGGCTGCCTCCTCGCACGGCCGGAATGCCTAATCACCATGGTGAGAAAACGGACACCGCAGCCGTCCTCCCTCCTCGCCTCGCGCCCTCCCTCCCATCAATTGTCATGCAGAAGTGATCTGGGCTGCCGTTTCCTCGCGGCCGCCAGCCAGCCAGCCCCT